GTGGGATCCGAACCCTCGGCGGGAGCTCCGCAGCGCTCCCAAGCGGTGCACTGTAGCAGTGCGCCACCGGACCGGCCCCAGGATTTAAAATCTTTGAGAAATGAGAGCAAGTGATGTAAGGATTAACAGACAACTATAACAAAGAATGTAGTCAAGTGGTAGAGTCTGATGACTTTAGATTTAAAGCTGGGTATATTTAAGGAAGAGGCAGGGAGAATGATCCAGAATTAGCAGTGAAGAGCAAGGAGGACACCTGTCTGGCTCCTGGTCCAGTGATAGGAGGAAAATAAATGGAAAATTAGTCATCACTTTAGTTAGCTTCAGGGGAGCAGTATAATCAGGAGATCTAGAAGGTGAAGGGAAGGTTCAGCAAAGATGTTGAGGATTTGGGAGGTTTTGTTAGGGAAATGTTGGGTTCCAGAGGGCAAAGTAAAAGGGTTTCAGGATTCTGGGAGGAGTAGATAGGGACAGGATAGGGAATAATATGTGGAACCATATGAAAATCAGAGGTGGGAGGTGTGGGCTGACTGAGGTGTCTGGTAAAGAAGGATAAAGGGCCTAATAAGTCCTAGTTGTCTGAAGACAGATAGTGTGGTGAGGCTGTGTTGGGGAATGCTGACGGGAATGTCAAGGACCCTCTCTTCATTCCTACGGATGGAGGTTGGAGGCTGGGAAGAGCAGCCTTACTCAGTGCCCTTGGGGCTTCTTCTTGACCCCTGCAGATGGAGACCAAGAAAACAGGAAGTTGCTTGTCACCCTCTGTACCTGGCGTGGCTTGTTGATTGCTAGGCTTTGTTTTAGGGTATCCAGTCATATGAAGAGGGTTTTATTCAGGAGTGCTACATCTGCACTAGCTAGTCTAGTTCTCACCAGACAGTACTTGATAAAATTATAATCTGCTTGTTGATGCCTCCCAGATCTGTTATCTACAGCCCAGATTTGTGCATAGATCTCCAGACCAGTATGTGTCTGTCTATCCACCGAACAAGATCACTTGGATAGCTCATAGATAGCCTCTTAAACTTAAATGTCTGAAACCAAATGCAGTGTCTTCTCCCCATTAAATCTGTTGTTTGTTGGTTAGAGCATGATGTTAATAACACCAGTGTCAAGGGTTTGGATCCCTTTACTGGCCAGCCATCAAGAAAATAAAAATAAATAAACGTTGTTATTCTCAAACTTGTCTGATCATCATAAGGACTCACAGTAACTGAATCAAAATCTCTGGATCTGAGGCCCAAGAATCTATATTTAAAAAGCCTCTCAAGTGATTTCTGATTGGCTATGTTTGGGAACCATTAAATTAAGGAATATTTTCTTCTTGAGAGTTTTCCTTGTCTCATTTTTTTCTGTTACGATGTATTCTGTATATAAATACACACACACCCACACATACGTGCACACACACATATGTAATATTTTCAAAGAATATCCTCACAACCATGTCAGTAAAAGGTAAATTTGGAGCATTAATCTAGAAAATTTTAGGAATTAAACCTGTGTACCTTTCTTGAAATACTATAACTTATGGCTTTAAATTGACTGATTGGTATCCTCAAAGCATTCATGGAAAAAGAGTTTAAGTCAAATATGAATGCATCATCTTTTAAGGGAAATATTCAACAAGAAACAGATCCAAAAGGATGAAGGAATGTAATTGTTTTCTTTACCAGGTGATGAATGGTGCTATCCTTCAGCAAGTGTTTGTGGTGGATTATGTTGTTCAGTCCCAAATGTGTGGAGATTGCCATCGAGTAGAAGCTAAGGACTTCTGGAAGGCTGTGATTCAAGTCAGGCAAAAGGTAATGGGAGAAAGATGGTGAGTGAGTCCTACGTAGTATTTCATCTTGTCTGTTATAAACAGCTAGTAAAATCACTTTCTTCCCCTTCTTTCCAAATCCTTTAGGCACCAGGGATAGTCTGGGTCCCTGGAGCATTCACCTTTGAAAATAGATCACTATTACATTTTAGATAATCTTTAAAAATTGTTGTTGTTTGAAAAATCAGTATGCTATAGCTATAGATGGTATGCGTGTGCTATACCCATAAATGGCTTTTTTAGGCATTTAATTTATTGATCTAATGCATTTGTATTTAGACTTTGCACAAAAAAACTTTCTACTATCTGGAACAATTGATTCTGAAATATGGAATGCATCAGAATACACTTCGTATCAAAGAGATTCATGGTGAGTTAAAATTTAAAAGCATTTGAAACAGGTCAAAATTTTATTTCAACTTATGTAAGTAATTTTTTATTTATTGGTAATATCTGGATTAGTACTTTCCAAAAGAACTTTCTGTTAGTAAGAAAAAAAATCTTAGTTCTCTATCTGCACTGTCCACTATAGTAGTCACTAGCTGCATGTGGCTCTTAGGTACTACTTAAATTTGGCTGTTGAAGACTTGAAGTGCAACTGAGGAACTGGATTTTTAATTTTTTCTTTTTTTGTGTATTTGTACTTTTCTCTTAATTTAAATGAAATTTATATGAAATAGCCACATGTGGCTAGTGGCTAGTCTATTGGATGGCACATATCTAGAACTAAGATTTTTTTCTTTGATGTTCTTCCTCTGCCCCAATTCAAGACATTTATTAAGCATCTAGTTTGTGATAGATACTATTCTGGATTCTTAGAAGATAAAGATGAATTATTATTAATTCCTGCCCTCAATGGATTGCTTATCTCACTACGAGATGAATAAACCATTAACTACACTAATGGAGTATAAAGTGCTATGATAGAAAATTCATTGAAAACTTGTTTTATGTAGAGAGATCAGTTTCTGATTGGAAGAAGATAATTATTTTTGAGGTCTATAAGTTTGTTTTATAGCGTTTTTATGTTTTTCATGTGCTGAGAGGTATTGTGATGGATAAATTAATTTGGAAACCTAAACTCAATCATCATAATAAACAGTGATATACAAATAATACAATTAGATTTCTTAAAGAAGGAATTTTAAAACTTTTGCATAATTTCATAATGGCTATTACAGCAGCTTGTTCTGTCTTAGAACTTAACTGTTTTGATGTAGCATACTTATACATATTAGATGGTGAATGAATAATTCTGGAATTAATATAAAACAAATGTTCTTTAGCAAACTTAAGTCTTCTGCTAAAAAAAATGTTTTTGGATGGTGCTTGCTACTGTTAGACATGAATTGAGTTTCCTAGTCTCTTTAAAGTACAGATTTAGGGATAGCTGTTCGTGAAAGAATGACCAAATTCTTAAATTATACTCCTTATTTTAAAACTATGCGTTCCACTGTTACTTACTGGTCTGTTACTCATTTATCTTTAAGTGTTGAAAAAGTGCTTAGAAAGTATGATCTTTGGTCTTTAAATGGGGAAAAAATTGTAATTAGTTATGTTACTTGGAGAAAATCTTTTAAGCTTTGCATCTGACCTGAGTGCATAACCAGTAGACACAAAGAGTTGATAGTCTGAATTGGTGAAACACAATTTAGTGAATACTGATTGTGGGTAAGGTAACCTACTGCCTATTGGACATAGTATGTGGTTATTTGAGGCTAGCCACCAGGCACAAATACACCTTTGTTCTGAGTAACTCTTTTGGGGGTAAAGAGACCCAGATTTTCTAAGAAGCAAATTATTATTATTATAGTTCATCATCATGGTAGAAATATACTTGTATAGTGGCTGGCTGATTAGCTCAGTTGGTTAGAATGTGGTGCAGATAACACCAGTCCATGGTTCAATCCTTGTATCAGCCAGCTGCCAAAAAAAAAAAAAAAAAAAAAAATATCCACTGTTTTCCCCAGAGATTGTGCCTTAAAACAAGATAGTACAATATATGCTCTGTTTGTAAATTGTGGTGATAGTGGTAATTTCCCCTCATATGTGGGATTGTTCTGGATTGTTCTATGACTTGCTGTCTTGCTTAATGTATTTGGAAACCTTTCCACAACATTACATACAGTTCTATTTCATTATTTTTAATTGCTGTATGGTATTCATTAATCAATATATATTTTAACTTAGTTGTTCTTTTGATAATAGGCTTACGTATTGTTCCATTATTCGCTGCTACAAACAGCACTGTAATAAATATCCTTAAGATGTTTGTCTTTCTTCATATGTAGTAGTTTTCCTTTGGACTGATTTAAAGAAATTAGAAAAGCCAATGAAGTCTTATCCAGTGCTGGCAAATGTTTGGACAAATGAAAACTCTCAAGTGGTGGGAATGTAAATTGACAATATTTTGGAAGATAATCTAGCAGTGTGTGTCAAAATTTAAAATTTACATATGTAATACTCCTTTCTAATAATTTCAGTTCTCAGTATCACTAATAGTTTACAGTTGATATTCTTGATTTGCTAGATAATCAATTATGTGTAAACAGTGATAGATTTATTTCTTCTTTCTAGTATTTTTTCCTCTTTTATTCCCCCTTTGGATAGAGTGGTGACACATCAGACATTATTATCTTTTTAATTGTTGAGGTTTCTGTTTGATATATATGCATACATACTTAATAATAGTTACAGCCTTCTATCTACTTTTATTCCCCCTTTGGATAGAGTGGTGACACATCAGACATTATTATCTTTTTAATCGTTGAGGTTTCTGTTTGATATATATGCATACATACTTAATAATAGTTACAGCCTTCTATCTAATCTTGCTGTCTTTTGTGTTAGTGACATTGAAAGGATTAGAAAGTGTGCCTTTTTTCTACCTAGTGTTTATTAACCTCTTGAAGTTTTATAAGAACTTGTCCATTAATTCTTCCAGTTTGTTATCTTCTGGGGCATAAGTCTTTTCGGTTTCTTTTAGGACACTGATTTCTTTTAGGTATTCTACCTCTTTTTGAATGAATTTTGATAGCATTCTCCAAGAAGAGAAACCATTTCATCTAGCTTTGTATGTTCTTGGTATAAAATTGAATGTAGTAAATTCTCATAATATTAAGTCTTATCCATAACTGTAGTTATGTTCTCTTTATTGCTTCTAATGTTGTTTGTCTTTTCTTATTTTCTATCCCCCTCCCTTTGGTCAGACTCACCAAACTTTTATCTATTATGTTAGTTTATTCAAAAACTATTTTTAGTTTTATCAAAAAAATCTTACTTTTTCTTTCTTTTTCTTAATTTTGTTTTTATTACTATAATTCCTTCTACTTTCTTTAATTTTATTTTGTTTTGATTGATTGAAAGCTTAGTTATTTTCAATTTCTAATAGATATGTTTAAGGTTATAAATTGTCTCCTGAGCACCATGTTGGCTCTGTAGCTGGTATTTATAGCCACCTTTTCCTCTACCTGTTGCATGCTTCCATTTCCCTCAGGAAACACCTCAGCTGTTTCATTCTCTTGGGTACATACATTCTAAGATGTAGAACTGCTGAGTCACATGGTAAATTTCTGTTTATATTAATGTATAGGAAACTGCCAAACTGTTTGCTATACAATTATAGCAAGTAGCTATACCATTTTATATTCCTGCCAGCAATATTTGAGGGTTCTAGTTTCTTCATATCCTCATCAACAGTTGGACTGTCTTTATTTAGAGCTATTTTAGAGGGCAGTGTGAAGTGGTATCTCATTGTGGTTTTAATTTCCATTTCACTAATGATTAATGATGTTGAGCATATTCTGGATACAAGTTTCTTACGTATTTTCTCCTAGCCTGTACCCTGTCTTCATTTTCTTAATGGTGTCCTTTGAATTGTAAAAGTTTTGAATTTTGATGAAGTCCAGTTTATCATGTTTTTCTTTTACAAATTGTGCTTCTGGTGCTGTGCTTAAGAACTTTTTGTCTAATCAAGGTCACAGAGATTTCCTTCTATGGTTTCTTTCAAATGTTTTATAGTTTTAGCTTAAGAGTTCTCACTCTTTTAAGTTAATTTTTGTGCAGGGCGTTAGGTATCTAAATTTATTTTTTTCTATGTGGATATTCTTTGCCCTTTTAAAAGACTGTCCTTTCCCAAGTGAATGCCTTGCATTCTCTGTCAGAGATATATTGACTGTAGTAAATGTAATTGTTTATTTCTGGAATCTCAAGTCTGCTCTATTGATCTATATATCTTTCCTTATGCCAGTCCCAAATTGTCTTGATTACTTAACTAAAGTTAGCAAAGTGTAAGTCCTACAAGATTGTTTATTTTCTTCAAAATTGTTTTAGCTATTCTGGGTAGTTTTTGTTTTCTGTTTGGCTGAGTTATTAGCAAGAATGTCTTTAAACATTTCTTAGGAGGTAGGTTTGCTTTTGGCTATCCTTTTGTTGATGATTTCTAATGCCACAGCATTGTGATCAGATAATGTTGTCTGTAGTAATTTCTACTGTTTGGAATTTATTGAATTAAAAAATCTTAGTACATGATTTATTTATGAATGTTTTGTGAATGTTTGAAAATAATATGCATTTCTTGGGACTGTATTCTATAGTCTCAATTAAATCAGCCTTGATAGTTGGTTATTCAAGTTCTGTGTGTCATGACTATTTTTCATCAATTTTGGTTTTCTTGAGAGTCTTATTCCAGTCCTCACAGTGATTGTACATGTGTTAACTTTTGTTAAGTTTTTCTTTTCTAATAGTTTGTTTTCTGTGTCTTGATTAATGGATTTTCATTATCTTCTTGGTAGATTGTCCTGTTTTTTATTTAAAATATCCTTTTTTCTTTGTCTCTCCCCCTTGGCCTTGAATTTTATTTTGTCTAGAATTAAAATTATGAATCTTATTTTCTTTTTTTGGCATTCGTTTGATTAATTTTGTGTATACTTTTGCCAAACAAGTCTTAAGTCACATCCCTAATCTGTTGTGGCTATAATAGAATATTTTTAATATTTTCTAATAATTTGATTTTGTTTAGTATGGATTTAATTTGTGACGTAGTCATGTTGCTAAAGGAAAATCTTATTTTGCAGAGTTATTTTCATGTGGTCTTTTTTTTTTTTTAAAGATGGTTTGGATTTCTATTATTCCTCAAAACAACATGCACAGAAGATGGTAGAATTTCTTCAGTGTACAGTTCCCTGTAGGTAGGTTCTGAACCTAAATGTGACTTAAGTCCAAGGACCTGGGGATGGATACAGGTCACATCTATTCTTCAGGCTTAGACAAATTTTCTTAGGTTAAAATATTTAAGATTGTACTAGGAGTACTTCCACAATCAGGAAGCATTTATTGGGCTAGTCACTTTAAGGGATATATTAGCCAAATAACATGTAAGAATCTCTTTGGAGAGCTAGACGTAACTCCATGATAATAAGCACTAAAGTGCTGACCCACATCAATTGAATGTATTTAAATGATAAGATACAAGGAAAGATGGGGGTTAGAGGGCTTTGGGGAGAGGCTTCATGGAGGAGGTAGGACATGTGCTTCAATGATGGGGGAAATTTTCAGAGTTTATATTGAAAAGTGAGATTAGCGTGAACAAAGACTTGTAGTGGGCATGAGTATGGCTTTTAATGCATGCTGGATAGAGAGTAGATTGGTCAGAGCCAAGAGCATGTTTTGGAGGTTTTTAATAGATAAGGTTGAAAATAGGTAGGGTTTAGTCAGACTAGTGAAGGTTTTGAAATGCAGGTGGATAAAATTAGGCTTTACCATAGTAGGCATCAGGAAGCTGTTTCAGACCTTGGACAGTAGATATTTGATTCGATGAAAATTGCTATTCCTGAGTCTATACAATATAAGTAAGGACCTTTGTCTTATATATACTTTTTTCTTATTAGATACAAAGCATCACAAAGACTGATCTCTCAGGATATCCATAGTAACACATATAATTACAAAAGCACTTTTTCTGTGGAAATTGTTCCAATATGCAAGGTACTTTTTTTCATTTAATTAATGCATATCTGTGAAAGAGTATAAGTAATTAATTGGCTTATATGTAATTTGTAGCTCCTTGTTACCTTCTGGGGTTGGTTAAAAATTTAGAATAACTTCCTTAAATGATTTCTGACACATTTAGCCATGTTAAAAAGATATAAAAAAGTAATCTTGCTTATAATTATGAGTTGTCATGCCTTTAATTTTGGTGTATTAAGTTGAAAAGACCTGGTTGCAGTTTTTAAAAGTCCTTGTTCCTTAAAATTTGTGATCCTAGTGGACATTATAACAGACAGGTCTATGCACCTTTGCATATAAGAAATAACCTTAAAATAAATAACAGTGACCCGTATTGTGGAGCATGTGCAAACAGGATTTTGGCAAGATTAGATTAAACATATTGTGGAAATGAGGTCATAGAATCATTTTTATGATTTTAAAAAAATCTGAATAAAACATTTAAGATGTATGTTATCATTTTATTTAACTATATTAAGGTAAAACCCTGCTTCAAAAATATAAATGAATTAAAATTCAACAAGTAGTAATTGAGCATGTGTTTAGAAGTCTGTGTATAGAGGATTATAGCTAGAGGTCTCTACCGTGTGGGAACTTATTATGTTGATATTAAATCACTAATAATGATAACTGCCATAATTTATTGTGACCATTCTATATAAAGTTAGTATCTAAGTAAGTATTTATTATCTTTCACCTCATTCATATCTCATAATAACTGAGGTAAACGATGTCATTCTGAAGATGAGGAAATTGAAGCTTAGGGAGGTTAGACAACTTGCCTAATGAAGCCAGGATTTGTACCAAGTCTGTGACTAAAGCTTTAAAGCTGTTATCACTAATTTATAGTATAGTACAGGACCAAGACTAAAATGATAGCTTAAAACAGGGTCAGCAAACTTTTTCTCTAGAGGGCCAGATACTAAATATTTTCAGGTTTCAGGCCATATAATTTATTTTGCATCTACTCAGTTCTCCTATTGTTGCACAAAAGTAGCCATGGACAATATGTCAATGAATGGCCAAGGTTGTGTTCCAGCAAAATTTTGTTTATAAAAACAGGTGGGGGGCCAAATTTGTCCTGAGGGCCATATTTTGCTAACTCCTGGTTTAAAACAGTAAACATATTCCTGGCTCAAAGCCTGGGAAATATGAGTGTAGGTGGGAGGGCATATTTAGGCCTGTGTATTAGCTGCTTTGAGTGACTCATACAAGTAACTGGGTGGAATACACACAATTTAAAGCGGTATTTTCATATAACTGGAAACTTTTGAGTTAGAAACCGAGGACTTGACTAGGAGCTGTCAGGCACAGAATGTCCCTTCAGTGGAGAAGCCTATGATTGTAAATAGATACAGCTTAAAGTATAACCCAGATCCTTTTTTATATTTTCATACATTTAAAAAATAATTTCGATTAAAAAAAACCCCATAATTACATTATTGTTTAATATTTCCCAATATACCTGTAGACATATGTGACATTTTTGGGCATTAAATCTTTGATTACATATTGGTATATGTTGCTGTGTAAGAGAAACATGTTTCTTTGAAATTTGTTTTTCATGGAGATTGGGAGAAGTCACAAGTAGATTTAGAAAATCACTGTCCGCCAGATGTTTTGAATACTTTGCTTAGAATGTACATTGTATTAACATGGAGTGATAAGCATTCACACTGCAATAAAATTGAAGTAAACTTAATAATAGCTTGGTGCATAGGCCCTGGAAGATTTTTTAAAGCATTTTTATTAAGACATATATGGCTATCTTAGGAAGGTATAGCTTAGTTTTAGTTTTTTTAAGATCTGATTCTTTTCTTTAGGCTCTTTGTTGATACGTAGACTTAAAAATAATGTTTTCATTGGGCAAATGCAGTTGAATTGGGTTTACACATTGATGAGTGTTTATTAGAGACTATTATATAGGATTTGCCTCATTCTAAATGTTAGTTCTTATTTCTAGGATAATGTTGTTTGTCTCTCTCCAAAACTGGCACAAAGTCTGGGAAATATGAACCAGATTTGTGTGTGTATTCGAGTAACCAGTGCCATCCACCTCATAGATCCAAACACCCTACAAGGTAAGTTGTGGAAACTATTTGCCTTGCCAATTTTGCTATGTATGTCATGCAGTAATAATTTATATTGTTAATTTTATCAAACATTCTTCATAATACTGTTTTGAAAGGCAAGTTAAAATTGTACTTCTGTTTAATACTTACAAAACGCTGTGGAACTATAAAGCTTTTGATTAGCTATTCTTGTATTTTGTATTTAAAGAAACAGTTCTGTGAACTTTTACAAATTTACTACTTTATTTCATTAATTTTTAATGAAATCAACTTATTTACCTCATTTTTTTGAATAGTTACTTAAGTTCTTTGCCAAATTTTATTGTGTAGCAGTTACTTTAAATTTTGAAACAGTTGACTTTTTGTGATCCAGTGAAACATTTAGTTTGGATATGAGTTTTAACTAATTTCATCATTATTATAGATCATTTTAAAACTTTCCCTTTATAAAAATTATTTTTTAAGGAAGACCACATATTGATAGGTGTCTCAGTATTTGGCTGTATCTTCTACTTCTTGATCTTTTTCATGTATTTCCTGTAATATAAGTTTTCCATTATAAAAAAATTGGGTTTATATTAATATTTTCTAGAAAGTCATTGTTCTTGTTAATTAAAATTCATTGGTTAAACATCTGTTTGCAGTATTGTGATTGACATTTTTTAACTATCAGGTAGAACTAGACTTATTTCCCCAAAATTAAGCAGCTAAGATGACTGATGTTTCTAAACTAAAATGCCAAAAACGTGAAACAAATACAAGTGTGATTGGATCTGATATTACTTAAAAGGCACTTAGTTCTGTGGCATTCTGATTAAAGTAATTACTTAAGATATACTAATTTCTCTTGTGCTTTGAGAAGTTTGGGGCTGATTTATAGAAATGAATGATGATCCTAGAGAGGTGAGTTGACACTATAGTTCCTGTTGACCTGATGCTTCCCAGTGGGTATATACCAACTTCTAGTTGACATTTGATGACTCTTGGAAATATATCAGTTCTCTTGTTCTTTAGTGTTCTATGCTTATTCTTAGTTGCAGATATTGATGGGAGCACTTTCTGGAGTCAACCTTTCAATAGTTTATGCCATCCCAAACAGCTAGAGGAGTTTATTGTGATGGAATGCAGCATAGTCCGAGATTTAAAACGCAGTGCAGGTGCTGGAATGATATCAAAAAAGGTAAGCTATATCCTGCCTACCCTTTTTTTTTTTTTTTACTTTTTTGCCAACTTATTACTGTTTCAGTTTCTCTATTTTTTTTTTTGTTGTTGGTAATTCCAAAATGTGGAGTTAAAATAAAGCTAGCACTACATTAGGTTAAAAATGCATTGTGTGCTTCTTTGTTTTTTTTTTAAACATGTGGTCATTGTGGTGAAAGTTATCAGACTCACACTATCTGGTAAGTTAATTTTTTCTTTTTTACATTGGAAAAAAAGTTTTTAAATGTTTACTCCATTATTGTAAAAAAGCATTTCCATGCTTTATTTTTGTAGAGGAGGACCAAATGACCAACTAATCTCTTGACTTTTTAAAATTCATCACTAAATAATAAATACTTCAGTATACATCTGTAAAACATAAAAATATTTTTCTACATAATCAGTGTTATTGTCTTACCTATAAACTACATAGTCAACCTTCAGATTTCCTCATTTGTCCCAAAAGTTTCTTTTATGGTTTGTTCACACTAGTCTCCAATTGGAAAACACATATTAAATGTGTATAATGCACCTTGTAAATCTTTTATTTAATAATAGCCCCTTTCCCTAAATTTTTGTTTTTGTTTTTGTTATGATACCAACTTCCTTAGACAACTAGGGTACTTATCTTGTAGAATATTCTACCTTCTAGATCTTATTGTTTCTTCATGATGTCATTTAACTTGCTTCTTAATCCCTTATATTTCCTCTAAACTGGAGAGTGGACCTACAGGTTTGGTTAGGTTGAGGTTAAGTTATTTTCGCCAGAACATTTCAGAGGTAATGCTGTGTACTTTCTATAATATCACATCAAGAGACAAGTAATATCTGTTTCACTGGTTAAAATGGTGTTAGCCAGATCCCTCCAGCGTAGTGTTATGGTCTTACTTTCCAGCAAGTAATCTGTGTAGCAATACTGTAATAATATGCAAATGTCAAGATCTTTTTATCTCTTTTTTCTGGCTTTAGCATCTGTTGATAATTCTTGCCTAAATTATTATTTTATTTAGGGTTACAAAATCGTAAATTTTCTATTTCTGTTATTTCTTGTACAATTATTAGCTGGCATTCTTTATTAAGGAAGAGCTTTCCATTATCAACTAGGGCTATGTGGTTTTCCTGAAATGCTTTTCTTCTGCATAAATCCTTAATTCTTTCTCTTTTAGCACATATTTTCAGAGTAAGCAGTTGGTCTAAGAGTCACTCTCAGTGGCGAAAATTAGTTTAGACTTGTTTTTATATTTGTCAGTGTCTCTTTATCTGTGATAATCATTGTGATCTCATGAAGTGTTGCACATTTACTGTATTTCTTTTCTTTCCTATTTCTTGTCCTATGCGCCCCCCCCCATCTTTCCTTCCTTTTTTTCAAATGCTTGGATTGCCCCATATTTAGCCAGTGGGAGCCCCCTCAGAGTGGTTTCTATGTGCTTTTGACATGACTTTCTTGGTCTTTGAAAGCATCCTTATTTTCTGGCACAACAACAGCATTCAAGTTTCTAAAATCACATTGTATAGTTTTTAACCTATATCTGAAGTCAAGTATTTCTTCAAGGATGTAAGTCTAATTTCTTTTAGTGTGAAGTGGTATTTAGAGACCCTCAATCTGGGTACTAAGGGTGCTTATTCCCTTTGAGGTAATATTCATCTTGAGACAATTACTTTATACATATTTATTTGAAATAAAAAAAATAATATAGTTAAGAGCAAACTATTTATAATAAATGTAGAAGTATAAACATCTCAGGCAGATATAAAACTAGATATTGTATTTTCTTGGTTTTCAAAAAATACATTTAGCTAGAACAGGTTTATAAGTCTCTTATAAATAGAAGTAGTTTATTAGCTAGAAAGTGAATTCTGTTACATAGAATTTAGTCTCTCCCCGGTAATTCACTTTTCTTTTTCAGTTCTTTTCCTAAATCTGAGATCTGTCTTTTACTTCAATTTCTCCTTTCTACTTCTGCTGCTTCTTTTTGTCTGTATTTTGGAATACCTTAATTTTACCTGTTACTCTTAGTATTTTGCTCTTAATCTCACTTTACTTGGTTTGTCTTTGTTAATAAAAGATATTGGCATGTGCTCTACTGAATTCAGCTTGGAAGTTTGAAATGTCCGTTATGTGTTTGTAAAACTCTCATGTTGGAAAGGGAATTAACAGTTTTCTAGTTTAAAATTTCACAGTTGGGATGTTGTTTCTATAACAAATAGTTTTAAAAAAAAAACCCCAGGATTACACCTCAAACTAGTAGATGTCCAAAAAATTAATTTGATAAAGATTTGGAATCTCTAGTGGTGCGCTGCTGGGATTTCCAGGTTGTTCTTTGAACCCTGGTCTTCTGAACCAAAAAAAAAACCCCAGGATTACACCTCAAACTAGTAGATGTCCAAAAAATTAATTTGATAAAGATTTGCAATCTCTAGTGGTGCGCTGCTGGGATTTCCAGGTTGTTCTTTGAACCCTGGTCTTCTGAACCGTATGTGTCAAACAAGGGTTTGCTTGAAATATTTTCTTGCTTTGAGATTCCCCTACCTTTTCAGTTATTCTCTTTGCTCAGTCTGTATGGTCCCATCTCCTTGTGAAAACATTTCTTTTGAAAATTCTACATGTTTATTTTTAGGTTACATTGTTAATGTTTTGTAAAAGCCTTGAATAAAATCTTAACAAAAATCAATTATTTTTGTGAATTCCTTATGAATCTTTTTCTATACTTATGATTTAGTAATTTGTTAATTTTTACAGTGTTTCAGAGATCTGGAAAATAAAAAACAAGAAAATTAAAAATTAGGAAACTAAAAATATTGTATTTAACTGTTCTATGAGATGCTTTTTGAGTTATGTTTAGATTATTGAAAAGTACATTTTTCTTTCCTATTAAGCATTCCCTTGGGGAAGTCTGGGTACAGAAAACATCTGAAATGAATACCGATAAACAGTATTTTTGTCGCACTCATTTGGGACACCTTCTAAATCCTGGAGACCTTGTGTTGGGGTTTGTATTATTTTATAGTATTTTAAACTGTCAATTAGCATTGCATAGTTTCTTTGGAGCCAGCAAACTACCTAAAATACTAAAGTTGTTTACTCTATAAAGATTTAAAAGTTCTTAGGGGACTTAATTCACTTTATTATTAATAACTAAATTAAACTGTGGATTGGACAAAAGCCGATAGTTAATTCCATTTTGGCCATCATCTTAAAGAGTCATTTGTTCCAAGATTTTGGTAATTGAACCCTGAAGTTGTATGGTTAGATCCATATTTAAAACTTTCTGGGGGAGTGGGTTTTTTATTCTGAATATTTTGCTGCTCAGATATTTCATTTTTAAGATATGGCAGCTGTATATGAACTATAAAGGCATGAACTATAAAAGTTCTTTCCAAATTGGAGTGTATTAGCGTGCCTTCAGAATTACTTTTGTTCTTAGGGTTTCAGTTCCTTTTACTAGAGAATGAAGGTTTTTTGTTTTTGTTTGTTTGTTTTATAAACTAGATGGAACCATCCCCCTAGTTAAACTGATAGTATAAGTCTGTTTTGCTTCTTTTACAAGTATGTGGTAAAGTGGACAGTAATGGATGATATGTGAAACTCAGAGATAGAGTGCCTTATTATCTTTACCAGTATCTGCAGAAGCATGTTCACTGTATAGTACGTTGCGAAACTTTTAAAGTAGGAAGCATATTAAATGTTTGATCTTGGGAGGAAGTTTTGGGTGATATCCATAAAACAAAAAATTATATGCAAAGGATAAATAGTCATTAAGTTTTTTGTTGTTTGCATTTCAGGTTTGATTTGGCCAACAGTAACTTAAATGATGAACATGTCAACAAAATGAACTCTGATAGAATGCCAGATGTGGTAAGGCTTTAGATTTTTCCCTTTTTTCCTGGGTATTGATGTAACTCTTACGGGTAAGATGCATGAGTTTGCACTTTTGAAAATAAATAAATTTAGAAGTTTCTTTGAAATTGCAGTTAAGGTATAATAACAATAGTCTTCGTTTTAAATTATTTTTCTTGGCGGGGTAAATCCATAATTTACTGAGGTTTTCTTGTTGCTCTTATAATCAAATTTTCATTCTCTGTCAAAATACTTGATAATTTCTATAGAGCAATAATTAATATGCAGCTGAAAATGATGACTTTCAAAATTTATTCAAGTTCATGCTTATTTGGCTGAGCTTATTTCATGTATATTGTTCAGTTAAGAAAGCATTTACAGAGCCTGAAAACACAAGCAACAAAAGGAAAAATAAACAAATGGGACTATATCAAACTGAAAAGCTTCTACACAGCAAAGGAAACAATCGACAGAGGGAAATGACAGCCTACAGAGTGGGAGAAAATTTTTGCTAAGTATGCATCTGACAAGGGATTAATATCCATAATATAGAAGGAACTCATGCAGTTTCACAGTAAAAAACCAAATAACCCAATTAAAAAATGGGCAAAGAAACTGAAAAGACATTTTTCAAAGGAAGACATACAAATGGCCAACAGGTACATGAAAAAATGCTCAACGATAGTAGTCATCAGGGAAATGCAAATTAAAACCACATTGAGATATCATCTCACCCCAGTTAGACTGGCTATAATCAAAAAGACAGAGAATAACAAATGCTGGCGAGGATGTGGAGAGAAGGGAATGCTCCTGCACTATTGGTAGGACTGTAAATTAGTACAACCACTATGGAAAACAGTATGGAGGTTTCTCAGACAACTACAGATAGATCTTTCATATGACCCAGCAATCCCACTTCTGAGTATATACCCAAAGGAATGGAAATCATCATATTGAAGGGATACCTGCACTCCCATGTTCATTGCAGCTCTGTTTACAATAGCCGAGATATGGAACCAACCTAAATGTCCATCGATGGATGATTGCACGAGGAAACAGTGGTGTATATACATCATGGAATACTCCCCTGCCATAAAAAAGAATGAAATTTTCCCATTTGCAACAACGTGGATGAGCTTAGAGAAACTTACGTTGAGTGAAATAAGCAAAGCACAGAGGGATAAATAAGATATATACTCACTCATGAGTGGAAGCTAAGAGAGAAAGAAAGAAGGAAAGAAAGGCCACAGTGGTGGGTTGGACTTGTAGAGGGAGAGAACATACCTAGAGATACAAAGTGGAGTGAGGAAAGGGGTATGGGGAGGGAGGTCAGGGATAATTGGGGGGATAATTGGGTTGGGGACACGGGCTATAATCACAATTTCTGGTAATGGGCATGCTGCCAGTATTCATCTGGCCTTCACATCTTAGGCACAAGTGGTGACAATTTGCTTTGTACGCCATGAATATTCATAACCTATTAAAAAAAAAAAGGAAGGCATTTACAGTTAAGACCATTATTCAACTTTGAATGTAATTTCAGTTAAAAATAATCTTCAGAGTGTCAAGTCTTAGAGAAACACTTACTTCTGAAAAATCTTTTAAGTTCTAACATGAGTTTTAGGAATCATGAGCAACAGTGAATGAAATCATTGTGAAAGACCTTATCTCCTACTTGGCTTTATCTTTTAGAATAAACATTGGTTTAGTTAGCTGCGGGCAAAAAATGAAGTGATGGTAAAAGAAGGACCCTTCCCCCCACCACCCAATTGTAAGTCAAACTAGGTATTTCTAACAAGTTTGTAAGAGGAGCTCATGGCAGTATTACGGGATTTTTTGTGTGTAAAATTATTTTCATTTATTCAGCCAAAATTCATTAAACAGTGTTATAAGAAATACTGTTGTGAAAAGTTGTGTGCAGTTCTGAAAGTGTTTATTAGTGGGAAAAGAAAGAAAAAGAGTCTGTCTGTGATGTTTCAGAATGATTTATATGAAATGTTAGCTGAAAACTAATGTTTGTTTAAAAAAAACTGAAGTTTTTGGTATTTAAAAAAAACTTAAAAGTCACTGGAAAATTTCAGCTAGTAAATTTTAACACTTATACAAATAATGCCCAAATGCATTCTCACGAAAAGTTAAATACATGGAGAAAAATTTTAAAGTCCTCTTGATACTACTTATTGATCACAACTCCTTTTCCTGAGATGTAACCACTGTCATCAGTTTGGTGACTTCCCTGGCATTTCCATAGCCTTTCATTTCTTAACTTCATTGGATTTTGAGGCCCTACTGTGTAGTTTCTATTTTTGTAAACTTTGCAAGTATTTGTTACAGGTATTAATCAAGAAGAGCTATGACCGTACCAAACGTCTGCGTCGTAGAAACTGGAAATTGAAAGAGCTTGCAAAAGATAGAGAAAACATGGATACAGATGATGAAAGGTCCCACTTTTCTTTAAACCTTATATGTTGTTCAGAGGAAATCCTTATGATAAATTGTTCTTATTTTCTAAAGAAATAGAGATCACATAATTGATCCTTGTACTCAATATTAATTTTGGATTCTTATCAGGGTATTGGTGGAATCGATATAAAAGGATGTAATGACATTTAACATAGATTTGGTAATTAGTTCCAGGACTAAATGTAAACAGTTTAATTGAAAGTTAAAATATAGTAAATAATTACCTTATGGATAGCACAAATAACAGATGAGTACTTATGACTTGAGACTAAAAGGAAACAGCTTATTGATGTCAAATATGTCATTTCTCAAATAACTTAAGCCTGAATGAATATATGTTCTAAAAACGTTGATTGGATGATTCAAAAAGTGGCCTTTATAATAATGGTGAAGACACTGATGTCTAAAGAAGTGAAGTGTTTATATAAAATTATTTTATGAAATGTGAGTGGGAAACTAGTATTTCTAAAATATAATCTCATAATGTAATTTAAAATAAGTATGTATAAATATATAACATGTTCAGTCAATCAAATATATATATATACACACATATTTGACTTTCATCTGTAGTTTTAAAAGTGTTTCAATTTGGCTATAGACTTTATGGGGGGAGGATAAATTGGTGGGATGTCTTTTCTTTGTCTTATATTTAACATCACCTTATATTCAGCTGTTTTTAACCATGTAATTTTGAAAGAAAATATTTTTTAAGCCTGTCAGAGTAATTAATATCCATATTTTACCTTCAGATATTATTTTTTAATATTTTAATACTTGGAGCACATTTATCTTGTAATGCTGAAAATGAAGAAAATATAACTTCATACTTTTCTTGGTGACAGTGAATTATTTATGTTTCTTTATCCTGTAGACAATACCAAGATTTTCTTGAAGATCTTGAAGAAGATGAGGCAATTAGAAAAAATGTCAACATTTACAGAGGTTGGTGTTTTAGGGGTGTTAGATTTAAATCATATGTTCTGTATGTAAATATAGTTCCCAATATGAGTATTTTGGTATCTTAAACTTTGATTCCCATAAATGACTTTTATTATTTGTTTTTTTTGAACTACTCTCGTCAAATTCTATAAAAAAATACTTGCAGAATAGTAAAACTTACTATAGTGTTGTTAACTGTACTGCGTTTGATACTGTTTGCATCCTAGTGTAATCCCTCAAGTTGCCGACTTCCATACTGGTAAAAAAGTATTCATATTTGTTCAGTTCATTCATTCAATGAATGTTTGAATACCTGCTCTAGATGAGATACAAGAGCTTCTGATACAACGTAGTTAAATAATAATAGTAGGGCAGGTATTTGTATATTTCCATATTTGTATTTATTTTAAAATTTCCTTTTTTTTTAAGATTCAACCATCCCTGTGGAAAGTGACACAGATGATGAAGGAGCACCTCGAATTAGTCTGGCTGAGATGCTTGAAGACCTTCATATTTCCCAAGATGCCACTGGTGAAGAAGGTGCATCGATGATGACATAATGAGATCATGTTGTAGACTGTTTCTACACCTGTGGGCTCAGGAAGTTGGACAAAGTAACCTATATGGTCTATTGCATCTATGCCTCCAGATTGAGAGGGAGATATTTAGTTTTAAACCTGAAAAAACATGACCATTTTGATTGCTCACTTGAAGCACTGAAAAAGATTGATGGCTTAGAAGTTTTAGATAATAAAAGATTATGGAGAATATAATTATTACTAATATTTAGTCCTTTTTTCATGTGGAATTTCATCACTTTATACAAGGCACTGTAGTATTTCACATACTGTAGTGCTGGATTTAAAAGTTCAAAAGTTGTGATTCCTTGGATAACTAAATCTTCAAGTGCAAAGAAGTTTTTACATTCTTTTTATGTTGATTATTTTAATAAAAGCATATGAAATATTTAATATGAACTTGTTTCGCACTTTGATCCATTTTAGATCATTTTTATGTCCTTGGGGTAGAGAAATTGGGGTTCACCTTATCACTGGATGTTCAGGAAGAAAGTTAATCTTTTTTTATTCGTAAAATTAACATCTTTTTTTTTTTTTTCCCCTGACCGGTAAGGGGATCGCAACCCTCGGCATGGTGTTGTCTGTGCCACGCTCAGCCAGTGAGTGCACTGGCCGTCCCTATATAGGATACAAACCCGTGGTCTCGGCGCTACCAGTGCCACACTCTTCCAAGTGAGCCACGGGGCCGGCCCCATAAAATTAACAGCTTTAAAAGCTGTTAAACTGATAGTTATCTTAATTTTTATTGCAGTAGGAAGAAGTATATTTAAAATATTTGTATATTTGTAACAAACATAGATTAGTTATTTAATGGTTAAATAACAGTTTGTTCTTTTGTTATTTTTGCCTGTGCCAGCAGTTTAGGGTAGTAGCTGCTTATGTCTTAAAAATATCTCCTTATCACATAAAGGATTTTGTTTTTAAAGTTTTGTTTTATAAATTGAGAAGGAGGTAATTTTCTCTATGTTTTATCATTATACATATCACCATCAAAGAGAATATTAGATTTCAGCATGTACATGATAAAAGTAATAAAAATGAGTTATATGCTTTATAAAACCATGAATTGCATTTAAATGAGAAATGTCTCCCACATCCTTGAAAGAAAAGCCTTGGCTTGGGTTATAAAGTGTTCTGCGAATGAAGTGTAAGGATCCTATTCCTGTAAGCAAGATCGTACTTACTAAATATGCCACAACTGAGAGCTAATTGATTGATTCTATGCTTACCATCAAATAAACAGATTGAGCAAGTGCCGAATGGAACACTTTCCTTTCTTTTCTTAAAAAAGACTCCCCAGTTTTGAAGTTATCAATAAAGGCCTGAACTTCTGATGGTGGCCCTTTTTCTGTCTGCAGATTCAGTTAAAGTTGTGGGTCTAAAAACCGTAACCTGTCCTTGGTGATAGCCTAGTAGGGATGGCTTGTTTTAGTTCTTCAGAGGTGAGTATGGCCACAGCAAGTTCTCAGTTGTGGTCTGTGTTTACCTCTGATATGCCAGGATTTTAAAAAGCATGAAAATAAAAACATTTTTATTTTTGTGTGTCCTTGCAGTGGTTGTGGTTGCATCAGTGTCATATTTGCATGAGAAGGGACCTCATGCAGTTTTCTGGAGTGGAATTGTTATGTTATTTAAGTAGTACTTGGCATATGATTTTTCCCATTGAAAAATATAATTTTCCACTAAACTTATTTAAGTCTTACTCATTTTGATGTATCTTTATGAGTATTGAAACCTGTTGGTTGAAAGAAGGCTGTGACAAGAAGGGATGTAGCTAAGGGACAAGTTGTCATCCAAGAGCTTGCACAGAATTAAACAATCCTAAGAAATCTACCATTTTAGGGTATACTTCCCATGCTCAGGCTTGTGGATCCCACAGTACTCTTATTGCTGTCTCAGAGTTGATAAGGGTATTAATCAAATGTACAAGAAGGTGACTTATAACCCAATTTATAAATATGACTAACTTACAAGTCAGTATGATCATTTTCTTTTGTAGCCAGATCTGCAACTGAAGCTGTTGTTTTATAGTCAAAAGTCACTGATGAGCAAGGAAAGAATTGAAGGAGAAAGTTGCTTGTGTGATTGTGATGTTTAACATCCAGCTAATTCCTTGCCACAGTAGAACCTGGGAACTCCAGGCTGTGTGCCGGGATGCAGCTCCCTGGTGAGTACTGAGTGCTAGAGTTTTCCCTAGACTCTTAATTTTAGCAACTCTGTTTATGTTAATTCATTCCTCAGATTATGTGGCATGTTATTTTTAGTTTAATTTGTTATTTGTAGCTCAAGGTACGTTTACTTTTTTTTTTTTCCTTTTTGTCTTTTTTCGTGACCGGCAATGGATCGCAACCCTCAGTGTCGCGCCCGTACCGGACCGGGACCGGCCACGGGATCGCAACCCCCGGTGGTGCCCCCGCCCCCCCCTCAGCCCGGGC